GGGGGGGGGGGGGGCTGCCTACCTTGACGAGGTGGTAGTGTGTTTCCTCCAGCTTTGGGCGCGAGAGGTGGCTGATGAGTGTGCCCGCCGACGACACCAATGTGCCCTTCTCCTCACAATCAACATATGTACTGAACACACGGACACACACACGAGTGTATCGTGTGTGGGTCGTCTGTGTGTCGTCGACCTACCTCATAATGAGCACGGCGAGCGGCTTGAGGGCCCGCAGGATGTCCTCACTCCCGCGCACCGTCATGATTTCCTGACCTGCACACACACACGCACACGATGGTGGAAGCGATTGTGTGTGTACTGCACGGCCATCTCACCACTTGAGCAGAGAGCCTGTATGGCGCAGACGCACACGTGCATGCCCGACTCGCGGAGAGACGCATCAGACACCTGACCTCCCACACACATGGATGGATGGATGGATGGATGGCTCCATGCGCACCTGTGCCTGCCCGAGAAAGGGCATCAACTGCTCGGTGAGTAGGGCGTAAATGGGTGCAAAGAGCTGTGGCATGAGGCCGATGTACCCCGATGTGAAGTAGACCAGCCGGCTGGCCGTCTGCCGCAGCAGCACCGCTGCCACACCTGAACTGGGGTACGGCAATGACGGAAGCGCCTCCAACGTCTGAAAAAAGTGTCGCACAGATGGATGGATGGATGTACGTGGCGCATGTGGCCGTGCAGACCTGTGGGATGACATTGTCTTCGCCGGCCGGTGCGCGTGGCGCCACGGCCGTCAGCACAAAGAGACAGCCCTCAAGCGCCTCCCACGGAGGCAGCACAACACCCTGACAGACAGATAGACAGACAGACAGACAGACACAGACAGCGTGTTGTGTGTCGTGTGTTGTGTGTGTGGTGGTGTGGTGTGGTGTGGCCCACCTGCCCTGCCCCCTCCTGCTTAAATCTCTCCAGCTGCTGGCCCACTGTGTTGAGGGCGTGGGTGTAGCCCACCAGCCGGCAGCTCTCCGTCAGCAGAGTGGCACACTCGTCGCGGAACTGATGGAACAGCTGCAGGCACAGCACACCCACACACAAGCACACAGACCGACCGACACATGAGGAGCCTGCATTGCGCGTGTGTGTGTGTGTCTGACGGTGAACTGGAAGTCTTGTTGTGTTTCGCAGGCCTTGGGGTAGCGCAGCACCTCCATCAGCACAGACACCATCCTAACCCAACACACACATACACACACGGCTACATTACTCAAGGCGATGAGCCAACGCACCCACTCACTTGGTGAAGAGGGGCTTGAGGAGCTCCCTGAGCTCTTGCCGAACCGCCGACCGATCGGTGCTCACCAAAGGGATCACCTGCGCCTACACACACACACACACACACACACACACGTCCGGTTTTCCCCAAGTCTCTTTGCCTCCGTCTTTGTCCTGTTTTCTTTCCTCTCACCCCTCCCGCAGCGATGCCGATGGCCATTTCGTGCAGCTGCGGCGTCTGGTGATCCAGCAGGTGGGACCACACTCCCAACGCGCTCGTGGCCACCTCCCAGGGAGACTCACCTGCCACCCGACCGACCAACACAGCCAACACACACAGCCAACACACACACACACACACACATTCGCATGCATACGGATGAATCGATTGTGAGCGAGAGCGAAAGTGACAGCCTGTACCGATTCCCCTGCTGCCGACGGCCGACATGAAGTGGGTGGCGAGGTCGGCAAGTCGGTCGAGTAGGGGGCGGGATGGCTCGTGGTAGTAGTAGAGATATGGAAAGTGCTCCCGGGCCAGGGCAGACAGCACCTCGCCTGCACCCACGGCCGTGTGACAGTGTCTGAGTGAGAGCCCAGTCGGCTTGGCTTACATGCCACGAGACAAGCGTCGATATTGCTGCCCATCTTCATCTTCTCTCCACCTGCAGCCCACACCCCCACACAGCAGCACGCAAATGTACAATTATCCCCTGGCTGGTCGCCCGCCCGCACCGACCTTGTGCCAGAGCTTCCGCGATGGCGAGGACGATTGCCCTGTCAGTGTCAGGGTGGGGCGTCACCTCACGCATGAGCGACAGCACCGCCACACACACATCCCCACTGGGACGCAGCAGCGTCTCGTGGCTCGCGCGGATGCCTGACACACACACACACACACAGGGAGGGAGGGAGGGAGGGAGGAAGGGCCGTTCGTGCATCCGTGTCAGTGAGCCTGTGTGTGTGTATTGGCTCCTTCTGACCTTCGAGTGCGAATCGGAAGAGCGGCGCGTCGGCCATCTCTCGCGCCAGTGGCGAGGTCCTCACCGGCTGCACCCATCCATCCATCCATCCATGAGCGACATTCCTATGACCATGGCACGCGCACACGGACGTACCTGTGAGTTTGGCGGCGGGTCGATCTCGTGCGATTTGACGTGTGCGTCGAGCCATGACGACAGCACCCGGAGCGACTTGGCCTGCCGGTGCGGGGCCACCTGCGGATCCACAGGGGCCTGCACACATTGGAACAACACTCGCATTGTTGCTGCCGCTAGTGGTGGTACCTGGAAGATGGTTGCAGCAGCGTTGAGGGCGACATTG